GGAGTTTAGATTATTGCTCATGTCCGGTCCCATGTCCAATGTCCAGGTGCCCAAGGCGGCTCGTAGCTCAGGGTGGTCAAGGTCCCCGGAGCCATCCTCATCGGCCTCTCGAAAGATCTGCCTGTGCCAGGCGGGTTTAGGGGGTTGGGGTGTGGGGATCAATGGTGAAGAGATTGGGCTTCAGGGTTTAAAGGCTTAGAGAAGAGGACTTAGCGAAGGATTGCCGAGTCGCACGGAGGGGGGGGGGGGGGGGGGGNNAGGAAGTTGTCTCAACAAGAATAGTGAAAAAGGATGCTGCGGGTTCGGTAAAGCCAAGCACGTGTGCGCACATCCAACCCACTGCAGTGACTTTGTTGTCATGGATGCATCTCTGCGAACAAGAGCCAGACAAAGTGAGAGCCAGCTCTTTCCACATAAATCAAGTTGTATGGGGTACTTGCTCATTTTCGATTGATGAAGAAAATCAGCCGGATGCACAGGCATAAATAAATGAATGCATATGCAGATAAATACATGTATGTATATATATATATATGTATACAGATGAGCCATTGTCTCAGCTCCTAGTATCCCCCTTGATAACCCCTATAGTATTACCCTATATATAATCCCCTATATATCCCCCCTTTAAGGAGTTTAGACTATAGCTCATATGCGTATGTATACACACTCTTGTCTTCAGTTGTTGTGTAGAGCCATCAGCTCTGCAGGGACTACCGCATCCAAGAACTTTTTTCATCTTCTTTTGTATACTGATGCATATTGGACGTCTGTGGATATTCGTACATACATGTCTATTAAAGAACATATATGACAAAGATTTTCCACACGCACGACATCTATATATATGTATATATAGAAATACATGCATACATATGCATGTACATATACAAGTATATGAAATATTTTGGCACACCGAGAACCCCTGTAATATGGAATACCTATTGGAACGGGGGAGGAGGAGCATGGGGTTGGGGGCCCAACAAACGGAGAAGGAACGAGGTCTCCTAATTAGGCCTCCAGCTACAGTCAGTCCATGTACTTCATAGGGAAGAGTGGGAGCAATTGCAAGTTGTATCACCTTGTAACCCTTTCATGTTTTCAGAAAATGTCCTCCAGTCAACATTATTCTAATGATGTATGTAGGCCTCTGCATGATGCACATGTGACACCTCAACGTCCCTCCCGAAGCTTACCACCCAAGGTTCAAGCTGATCCCTCATCCCTCAGAGCCTGCGAGGATGGCAGTACATGCAATATGGATAGAAAGTGTAGAAGCGAAAGAGGGGGCACTGGCGGTCCATTTATTTGTAGCTAGGGGCCCCGCAGACGCTGCATCATGTGCCAGCTGCAGTTTCTGTCTAAGCTGCAGTTTCTTCATGATTTTACGACTAACCGGGCCAATCAGATCCGATGAAGCCTCATACCTTTTTTCGCCCCATAGCCAATAATTATTCCAAATCTCTAACAACCCCTAAACCTAGAACCTCAATCTTTACCCAAAAGCCCTTTGAGCACTGAACCCTGAAACAAAACACAACCCTCACTCCCTCAATGCCTATAAACGCCAAGGCACAAATTTCCCATAAAACCCAAATCCCTAAATCCTAAACCCTCGAAACCCCATGAACCTTTATGAATCCTAAGCCCCCTTCAACCTAAGCTCCTGAACCCCAAGCCCTAAACTGGGTTGCTGTTAAGGAACTTAAATCAAGTTGCCATAATGGGTATATGTAGTAAATAATAGGGTTTCCCCAATATAGTGACCTAATTTAAGTTCCTTAACAGCAACCCAGTAAAGGGAAGCTGAAAGCCTCAGGGAGGCCATGACCATCTCGGCCTCTTTGTCCTCTCCAGGGCCCAAAAGGGTCCATGTAGGTATATGTGATCTACTTGGGGCTTAGGGTTTAGGGTTTAGGGTTTACTTGGGTTTGGGGTTTAGGGTTTTAGGGTTTAGGGTTTTAGGGTTTAGGGTTTGGGGTTCAGGGTTTAGGGTTTACTTGGGTCTTAAAGTACGTAGATGGGAACTTCTTTGGACCCTACAAGTATATACCATATACCTACATACATTTCCAGTTCCTTCTCCCTCAGGAGAATGATGCCTACATGGACCCTTTGGGCAAGGGCAGTCTCTGTCTTGAAGCGAAACCCGGGGGTTATCTTGGGGCTATATAAGGATATACTGGCAAAGAAAATGGAAACTACTATAATGGGCTATATAGAGATGATAAGGGCTATATTGGGGCTATCTGGGAATAATGGGAAAGAATATGGAAACCTAAAATATTGGGGTTATATTGGGGTTACACTTACATCTACATTCATACCGTAGGGTGGTGGCGGTGAAGTGGCGGCAATCTGGCACCTGGTACATGAAGCTTGCCTAAAGTACCTAAAGGGCGCCTATAGCTGAAGGCAGGCGCGGGATTCAAGACGTCAGCCATTTTCTTGAGAGGGCTGGCATTTGTGGGTTTCCGCACATTTTGGAACGCGTTCGGGGGTGCCTCAGGAACCCCGGGAAGATCCTGTCTGGGGTCGCCTTCTGCTGCTATTCCCCTAGAAAGGCTACGATATTTGGCAGTGAGTCGAAACCCCGTGCCCGATGGCCCGCGCGGACAAGCCTCGGTTACATACCCTTGAAATGCGCGGCTTGTTACATACCCCTTGTCGCGCGTTGTCGCGCGGCAAAAAAACTTAGAATTGGAGGGCTTCTCGCGCCAGGCGCGCACCTGCTACATTCTCCTTGTAACGGGGTATGTCGCGTGTGTGGGCCCCGGCCTTGTTACAAGCCTTTGGTTTTGACCCGCTCCCATTTAGGCCCGGAGAATTTAAGACGTCAACCCATCCTTGCATGGTTTGCCATGTCAACGGCTGGGAGGCTGCGTTACAGAAGTTGGTTCCTGTCTTGCCGCTGCCAGACCTGCTGACTACCCCCCTCATGCCACCACAAAGCACCATCTTGTCTTGGGCGTACCTGGAGACTGGAACCCCTGGGCTTGATTGGGTTTGCCCATGGCACTACACAGATGGTGGACGGAGCCCATGTCAGCCCTGCGAGGGAGGCTCCCATGCCTTCTAATTTCCACAGGCCATTAAAAAACGCCAACACCGCAAAAAGACCGCCCTGAACCCACCAAAACCCTTGTCTTGTCTTTATAAATATGTTGACGTCTTAAATCCCGCGCCCGGCTAGCTGAACCATATATGCATGGTGCGGCTAGTGCCGAGCCAATGCCTGGGCAAAAGTACGCCGATTGTTATGCTTGGGTTCTCCGGCCTATAGAGAAGAGACAAATCGCCATCTCTGGTGACAATACTGATTTGGGCACTTGGTGCGCGAGTTACTTGGTGATAATGATGACGAATATGATGGTGACAACGGCGACGGTGGTGGTGGTGGTGGTGGTGGTGGTGGTGGTGGTGGTGGTGGTGGTGGTGGTGGTGGTGGTGGTGGTGGTGGTGGTGGTGGTGGGCGGTGGTGGTGGTGGTGGTGGTGGTGGTGGTGGTGGTGGTGGTGGTGGTGGTGGTGAAGTTCGTGCTTATGGAGTTTGATTCTGGTCGTGATCATGTGTGATGGTACATTGTTACTGCCTTGTGTCATCTATCTTCACTAGCATGAAGCTTAGCCATGGTGGTGGATTCTGCAGCTGTTCCGTCACAATGTTCTCAACCACTGTTCATGCTCTTCCTACAGACGACGACCCCATAGCAGCTAGACAGTTCGCATGGCCATACGCACTGCCCTAGGCATGAGCAATTGCAGCGGCGGAATGAACAGCGGCAGAGCAGGGTTGGGAGCTGCCCCTTGGCATCTAGCTTCTTTAGCCAGAACTGCGCGAACTGTAATATCATGAAGCTGCTCATACCTGAGCTGATTTTACTTTCGACGAGACTGGTGACTGACAACCACCATGACGAACCGACTAGTTAACAAACACACTCATATTCGAACTCCATGTTACTTTCCGCTCAACACAGAGCCTAGGCCAGCCCTTCCAAACCTGGCCAATTCATAATAACTAATGGTTTGGGTTTGGGACTAAACACCACGGGGGTGAGGTGGGGGGACGTCGTTCTCATTTGCCCGGCAAATGCCACGGAAGAAGAGCTTTTTGAGGATCGCTGCCCCATGGTGTCCCCAAATTCAACTTTGAAGGCCTTGTCAAGCTTACCCTAGGTGGACCCCCCACCCAGTAATAGTGACTATAAGGGGTAGTACGTATCATATTAGGATCCACCTATATTCCTGTTATACCACTATTACAGGGTGGGGGGTCCTCCTAAGGCTTACCCATGGACAGGAAATGCTCCGCAAGGCGTAGCCATCTTGTGTAGCAAGCGGAGGCCCTCAAACTCACGCGGGAGTACTGTACCTCTAAAAGCTTACCGCTGCCAGTTCCCCAGTGGAAGCTTCAAATCAGACATGTACGATGTACGGCAGGCATGTATTCAAAGATGCGGTCACTATTATTACGATTAATCATATACCATTACTATTACTACTGTTATTATTTGTATTATCAATATTATTGTTATGATTATTGTTGGCTTCGTAAACGGACAGCTGCAGCCAGGGCCTGCTCAAGCGTTCTCCCTCCCACTCCTATTACAAAACATGCCCACTGCCCGCTATGAAGTACTCCCTGTTCCACCCGGATACGATCCTGGCAGCTTTCAATTCTAGAGGGGTAGCGATTTTTCTGGTTTGGGCAAGACGTCAAGAAGTCCCTTACAGACCAGAAGGAACAGTCTCTCCTCACGTTGACCCAGCAAGCACTGATGAAACTCAGGTGTCTCATCAACTGCTACTTGTGTCCCAGCACGTGGGCGTTCTCAGAGTTGTAGGTATCTTTTCCACTTAACGCAGAATAAAGGCTTCCTAGCAATCTGGCATGCATAAGCAAGCCGGATGCTGCTTTCGGAAACACCCACATGCCAGATCTACCCTCTGCAGCAACTGCTAACAGTAGCTGCTCCCCCCTGGCCAGGTTCCCAGTCATACCACGGAATGTCAAAGAACATATAAAAAAGCTCAACACGTGCCCGGTGTAAAGTGCCCTACTTTCCTATTCAAACCCTTCTCTCGGACCAGCTTGCGAAGCTAAACGGTAAGCATACCAAGCACGGTACAGTACTAGGGAGCAACAGGCGTTGACCTACATTCGAACTTTGTGCTTAATGAATGTGTTTCGGCTCTGTAGACCCGTCACTCTGCAGCATGAAGTCTGGGCATTTCCAAAGGAATGCAAATAAGTATTTGCAATCCACGAGCATGACGACATCTTAGATTATGCAAGTTGGCCACGCCAGGCCTACGATTAGGGCGCATTCTGAACAGGTGCGTGTACTCGACATTAGCATGCCAAAACACATGCGTAGATTCCTAGGGCTGTCGCCTGATGCAGCAGGACCTGGACGTTTCCCCCTTTCCCTTCCTTCCAGCCCTCAACATAAACTACACCCGCCCTGGCCCTCCCCCAGATTCTTCAGAGTCCTGCCCACCACACCCCTTCTTACCCCCCTCCATTCTGGTTACCGCTCTCAGCACTGCCACAGTCCCATGGCCGATCTTGTCCTAGCCGTGTGCCTCCATGCGGTCAGGTGCTGTGCTGTCACAGCAAACAGGCGCTAGCGTATACAATTCTGCTCACCCTGTCCCTGTACCACTTCAAAAACTATCGGAACACCCTCCTGTAGGACCTGGAAACATTCCGGCTACGGGCAAAGCTACGCTGACAGAAAAGCCATGTGACTTGTCTTTCCAGGTTTCCGCTTATCCACTTGCTTTACTGTTCTGCGAAGCAACCTGACAAATCAGCAAAGAGTTTACATGGTTTCATCACAACTCCAGATCCTCTGTGGGCGTGCCAATATCTGGGACATCAAAGCTGCCGTTTCAGAGGCATCCGCGTTCACTATGAGTGGGATCCCAGCCCTCCTGCGTTGCAGGGTTCTTTCATCTCTTTGATGTAGCCACAACAGAGGATCTCTTGTTTGGAGGTCCCCTATCGTGTTTTGCCTGCTCTCAGGCATGTAGCCCGAGCCTTGCCTCAATCTTTACCTGCCAAGATGGCACAGTCCCTGAGACTCCGTGTGGAAGTTTCTGGGAATTCTGGGTCAAAATCATCGATACGGCACTTTCATTCATAGCTATAACTACAGTGTAGCTGCTTGCTGGAGTCGCAAGGGGTTTGGGCCATGGCATCCAAGCCGGCCCCTTCACAGCCAGAATTGCTCAGTGCCCTCCGAGACAGCTGCAAGCTCGCCTCTGATACAAGAAATTCTCAACATCATGGTCATTCCATGAAATCCTGATGCACAAGCAAAACAGTTAGCACTCAGAAAAAGGCTTCCCTGTGCTCTAGTAGGGGAGCTGATGACATCTTGGAAAACTTATCTGAAACCAACAATGCCAACAAATGAGAACTTGGACGGCCCTGACATCCCCCAATCATGGATGCAACAAGTTTCAGCAGGCTGCAGTAAAGCGACTGGTTCGGTACAATGTGCATTCGAACTCTGGGGTTCACTTGTGTGCCAAAGCCAAATGCAGAGGCATTCCAAAAACGGCGGGCGCAGCCATAGCAACAAGCCATGCCCCTGAAACATCACGCAAAGCGAGCATATACATTGTGTTCAGCGGGGTTCATAGGAGGTTTGCTTGTTTGTAAACCCTAAGGGTCCAAGTACCCAATAATCATATACTTACCCAAAACCTGTACTATAATTACTATTACCCAAATCCCAAGTACCTAAATAATATTGGGTACATGGACCCTCTGGGTAAAGGACAGGGTATTGGTCAGGCAGGCGTCGCTCCCACTCGGCACCCTCCTTGCCCAATGCTGC